AGTTCCCTCTTTAACCCTACACAAGGTTCTGAGATTGTTTTCCCCCCATTTTCTAAAAGGAATTTCCTATGACCAGGAGAATTCGCAGAACACGTCTACATCCTCAGCACAGGCTGCCCAAAGTGAGCCCAGCCAACCTCCCTCCACCACCAGGCTTCTCATCCAGGTTCTCTCCTCTCCTCTAGCCCCCACCCCTCTCCCCCTTCTGGGTGGTAAAAAAATGAAATAAAACAAACAAACAACAACAAAAAACCCCCTCAGCACAGCCATTCCAAGCACATTCTCTCTCCTCCAAGTCTGCGCCTCCTTCCCAGTCCCCACGGTTAGAGGGTGGTGCCCTGTACCCATCCCTCAGCCTGGGGCTCAGACACTTTGCTCTCTGCTTTCCCTCATCCCGACCTCTAATTGATGCCAAGCCTTGTTGATTTCACGACCTCCGTTTCTCTCTGCCCATCCCCTTCTATCTCTCCATAGTCACAGACTCTGTCCAGACCCTTATTTCCCACTTTGACCACTGCAAAGATCTCCTAATTGGCCTCTCTCTCCCTGCAAACTTTCATCACTTGAATCACACCATCCCCACCAGTTATCCTCATAAAACTTGACCCAACCATGGCCCTCTGTATCCTCGCAGGTCTGCTTTGCCCACAGAAAACAGTCCACCTCCTTAGCGTAGCATCCAAGGACTCCACAGCCTCCCTTTCCACGTTTACATCTGGCTCCACCCATTGTGTGCTTTTTTCTCTGCCCCCAGCGGACCATTCATCGTTCCACAGATCTCCTTTCCATTTCCTGTCTTTGCTCGTGCAAGACTCCTGGAGAGACCTTCGCCCTCTATGGTCCCCTGGGCGTGGTTAGGGCTGAGGGCTGCTCATAGAGTTGCCTCTCCCCTGGCGCGCTGTAAGCTTTTTGAGAGCAGGGAGTTTATTACTACCACCACCACCTTCCCCCAAACAACCTGCACTTAGGTTCTCAGGGGGGAAAAAAGTATTAAATTAGATGAATGTTATCGCTGCATTGCTGCATGCAAGACTCACATTATGTTAGAATCTTGGTGTTGAAAGACACATAAAAACTATCTAAACCAATTTCTAGCCCGATGCATAAATCCCTTTGGCAAAGCTGTTGCAGTTATCTATTGCTAAGTAACAACAAGCTATCAGCAAATTCAGTGGCTTAAAACACAACCGTTATATGTGCTTGTGATTCTGTGGACTATTAATTCGGGTGGGGCTTGGCTGGGTGGCCCTTCAGCCCTACATTGTGTCAGCCAAGGTCAATCACTTGGTTGAGGTCATTGACTGGAACAACCATGAAGGCTTCACTCACGTGCCTGGTGCCTCGGTGTTCCTCCACGTAGCCTCTGTTTGGCTCTAGCCTGGGTGTCCTTGCAACTTGGCAGTCTAGGGCAAGGAGGGCTTCTCATGAGGCAGCTTCCAAAAGTGAGCATTGCCAGAGGGGCAAAGGTAGAAGCTACAAATCTCTTACAGCCCGTCCTCAGAAGTTACCCAGAGTCACTTCCACTGCATCCTACAGACCAAAGCTCGCCACAAGGCCGGTGGAGACTCAGAGCATGGGAAGCAGACCCCACTTCTCAAAGGGAGGTGAGGCCAAAAACTTACCAAGAGGCATATTTAATCCACCACAGAAACCTTTTCAGATACTTTCAGCCTACACGTAACCATTTCCTGTGATGAAGAGCTCGTCACAATACACGGGTAGTTCATTTACAGACAGCTCTGACAGAAAATATTCCAGCTCATAAACATGGACTGTCCAATGCCAGAGTCTGATCTGATGTTCCTTAATGAGCCCCTCCAGGGCCTCAGAGATGCTACCTGCACTTCTGAGGCTCCTCAAAATGCAGACATATCCGTCAGGGTTATTATGTATATTAAACACATCCACACTTAGAAAATTAATTTTTAAAACCCAAACAAACACATAATAACAACAACCTTCTTTGGAAATAACACCAAAGCCTGCATTTGGGTCCCTCAGTGAACCTGATGCCTGGCCACAGAGCTTTATGATCCTTCCATGAACCCCGACACACAGCCAGCCCACAATTTATATCCGTCGATCACTGAGGTCCTCAAGAAGAACATCAACCAGAAAATCTCTGCTGGGAACTGAGCCCCAAGACCCCAGCTCCACTGAGCTACCCTCCCAGCATCTGGGACTCAGCTCACCTCTAGGGAGGAGGGAGTCCAGAGATTGGAACAGGTGACTTTCGCTGTTGGAGACATATAAAAAGTATTGTTTTTCTTCCCCAGCAGATTTAAATAATCATATGCAAAATCCAACAATACAACCTAAATACCTCTCCACTGTGGCTTAGATCTGAGTTACTATTATGGAATCATATTGTTAATTTCAATCAGTGTGATAATGATTATTGTGGCTATGACAGGACATGTCCTTTTTCATGGAAGATCCTTGCTGAAGGGTTTGATCAGGAGGCAGCAAACTGAGGCTCCCAGGCCAAACCTGGCTGACATGCATTATTGAAAGTCTCACTGGACCACAGCCACACCCTTTTGTTTACATATTGTCTGTGGCTGCTTTTGTGCTATGATGGTCTGGGGGAGTAGTTGTGACAGAGGCAGACCCAAAAAGCCCAAAATATTGATTATCTGGTCCTTTACAGAAAATAGTTTGCTAACCGTTGGGTTAGAGTTACTATGTCTGCCACTTTCTCTCAAATTGTTCAGCAAAATGACAGCAACCAAAAAGTGCATACATGTATCTGTATGTGTGTGTGTGTGCCTGCATGCATGGAGAGAGAAGGAAAGAGAGTGAAAATGTGGCAAAATATTAATAATTGGTAAATTTAAGTGGATAATATATGAGTATTCATTTTATTTTTCTTTCCACTTTTCTTCAAGTTTGAATTTTTTTTTTAAATAAAGTGTTTTAGAGTAAATATTGCTTCACTTAAAAACTCAAAAGATGGGAATTCCCTGATGGTCCAGTGGTTAGGACTCCGTGCTCTCACTGCTGAGGGCCCGGGTTCAATCCCTGGTTGGGGAACTAAAATCCCACAAGCCATATGGTGCAGCCAAAAAAAAACAAACACTCAAAAGAATCTCCTAGAAAAAAATGCAACTCATAGGAAAGTTAACTAAGGAGACCAGTAACAATATATAAATATATAATAGCAATTGCAATAAGTTTAAAAATAATGAGCACAATAGCAATAAAAAATATTAAGCCTAAAGTTTAATTAGGAAAGAAATGTAGGGCACCTAAATAAAACAGTAAATTTTACCAAAGTCCAAAAATTAGAAGCCCACAGGTACGTATGTCATTGAGAATGTTTGGGATTGGTGGCCAGTGCATTAACAGGTGTTTAAAAAAAAACCTATATCAAAGACAAAAAAGAAGCTTTGAATAAAAGGAAGAACATACCACATTCCTGAACAAGAAGATTTACTTGTTCATATTATAAAAATGTTCATCCTCCACAAATACAGCAATAGCATTGATGCAATTCCAATAAAAACCACCACGTTGCTTTTTTGATGTTGGGGGGAGGGGGATAGTGAGAAAATATTTCAAAAGTATCTCTAACAGGAAAAAATGGATGAGATTAGCCAAGGACATTTTAGAAATGAAGAGTAATGATAGACTCTGACTTTAATAGATGGTAAAATTTATGTTAAAGCTGCATATAATTAAACAATTAAATCTGGCTCAGGAATAATCAGTCAAGGAAGAAAAATCCACGAAAAGATCCCAAAGTAAGTAAGAATCGAGGCAGCAAATCCAGTGAGAGGAGAGAGGATGGTTTACACAGTAAATGATGTTAGGATAACGGGCTAGCCATTTGGAAGAAAATAAAGTGAGAGCCATACATCATACCACACTCCAGAGTGAAGAAAAATTAAGTGCAAAGAAATGAAATAAGGAAAGATATATTAAACAATGTAGATTAGTATTTTTATAAGCTTGTGATGGCACAGATCTTTCTATGCATAAAACAAATAATAAAGAAAATGATCGATATAGTTGGCTAATAAAAATTTTAACTTTCTGTACATCCCAAACCACTATAACCAAAATTAAGAAAATAGCAACAACAACACTGAGAAAAACTATTTGCAATAGAAATGATATTAAGGGGTCAATGTCCCCATTATCTAATCATTATGGGGGGAAAAGTTTTTAAAAATTCAAAAATGAGCAAATGCCATTAACATACAATTCACAAAATAATACAATTGTTGAGATTCAGCATGATTATCATTTTTTTCTTTTTGTTTATAGTATTTTCTGAGCTTTCTATCCCCCCAAAATGCATTATTCCTGTAGAAAAAAAAAAAATCTCAAAATAGGAACCAGGAAAAAATTTTTTTCTTTTTCGGGAAACCTAAGCTTCTTGCCAGAGGACAGTAAAGCTCCTTTAACAGCTCCAAACTCTCTCAGAATGAGTAGATATGCAAGGTTACAAACAACCTCCTATCGTGGGCAAAAAATATACATTTTTCATCTCCTCGAATCCTCCAAAAATCTCAGGTAGGGTGTTGTTACTACCTTAATATTACAGACAAGAAAGTGAAGACTCAGAGAAGTTCAGCAGCCACACCCTTTTGCTTCCTAAGCTTCCTAAGCTTCCTAAGGTCACACAGCAGTAAGCAATAGAGTTGGAACTGGATCCCAGGCTGGTCTGACCACAAACTCAGCTCTTTTCAGGCCTTGTTTCAGGACCCTTGGGTTGGGATGCAGAGGGATGAGTTCTGATCCTGGCTCTGTCCCCAACCACCAGTACACACAGCCTTCGCAAGTCTCTTCCCCTGTCTGACCCTGATTTCCTCATCTGTTCAAGGGGAAGTGTATTGGCCCAAATGGTGTGTCAAGTTCCTTCCTGCTCAGACATGCCAGATTTTTGTTCTCATAAAGCACTCATTAGCCAAGGACCGGTCCAAACCAGAGATCAACCCCAGGGGCCTGGGGGCTAGAACAGGTGGCCTCACACAGATGCCCAGGCACTGGCCCACCTTGAATTCCTCATGGATGCGCTCCTCCAGGATTTTGGCAGCCTTGCGGTCCTCCGTCTCCACTTTCCACTTCTCCACCAGGATCCGGGCTTTCTCATTGGCCAGAGCATCCCGGAACTTCTTGGTGATCTCTGCCTCCTTCTGTCTCCTTCCAAGAGAACACCAGCAGGTATCAGGAGGTATGGGAAACTGAAGGACCACATGCCAACAGAGCTTCAAATAAAAACCATGCGCAATCATTCTTGGTCTATCAGAACGGCAAATATCTGAGGTTCACAAAACTCAGTGTTAGCAAAGGTGGGGAGTATAAATCACCAGAATTGCTCTGGAAGCCAGAAGATAAAACCTCAGAAACCCCATTTCTCACTCAAGTTTACAAAGGTGTAGGGAAAAGCTCATCAGAGGGTTTTTATAACATAAAAAGTGGCAAACAACCCAAATGTCCCTCAACAAGACCAATAAATTGGGTTTCTCACGTAATGGGATACTATACAGTAATCTTAAATAACACTGTGGATCTATGTTAATCAATTTATGAAGGTGTGAATAAAGCAGCTTACAAAGCATGTATTGCCCAAATGCTCACCATGGTTATCTTAGGTGGTGGGTACTGAGTTGTTATTTAATTGATTCTTTACAGTTTTCAATGTTGTTTACACGTTACAATTTTATGATTAAAACACTGTCATTAAAAACTGGGGGAAAAATGTTGGAGTCAACTTCATACAAATTTCCAAGTCTGGCAAAAAATATGTCAAATGTGGTTTATGAAAGAAGTCTGACCCCCCAGTATCAGTAGGGGCTCAACTGTCCATCTTGTGTGAGAAATGGAGGTAACATGACGAGGAACAAGCAGATTTTAAAAGTGAATTCAAATTGCTCTGCTGTCCTTGGGACAACTCAGTGAGGAAAGAGGCAAAAGGATATCATACGCATTATCTCAGTAAATCCAACTACATCCATATAGAAAAGGTGTTGTGATGCCCAAACCACAGATGTGAAAACTGAGGCCCTGGATCAGCTCACCACGAATTAGTGGAGCCAGGATTTGAACCCAAAAGGTCTACCTGATGTAAGACTAGTGCTTGGGTCCCCTAATCTTAGCAGAGCTCCAAACAGCCAGCCAGCTGCCTGGCGCCCCCTCACTCCCACCCGTAACCTATTGTCCTTAATGTGAACCCACCCCAAGCCTCCGTGTTCAGGACCCACCCCAGTACCCATTGGCACCTCTCACCAGAGCTCCTCCGCCTCCCTCTGTGCCTGCAGCCGCGCCCTCTCTGCAATCAGCTCCTCAGAGATCTCTTCATAGGGCTTGTCTCCAGGGCCTTCTCCCATGACCCAGACCCAGACTTCGCCATCTGCCCCCAGGAGCCACTGGATGTGCTTGTCACTCGCTGCCTCACAACACAGGAAGAACAAGGAAGGAAGGAGAAACAGGTCTGAGTTGTACTGAGTCAGGAATGACCTGGGCTGGCCAGGGGTGCACAACCATCACGCCACCCTACAAAACGTGGTCATCTGCAAAGAGGATGCCAGAGAGACATTGACCTGAGTGCAGGTCCATGGCCATCTCCCTCTCCCACTCCCTCTAGGGAGCAATATGTCAGCCAAGTCAGTCTGCTGGAGCAGGTGTTCAAAGCTGGAACTGGTGTCCGAAGCCCAGAGACCCTGAAATCTTCAGCACAGAAGACATCAGGTGACAGCACTCGCTGAAGGAAGACTTGTGTCACTCCCAAGCCAAGGCAGTTAGGAGCCCGGGAGTCTTCTCTCTCTCTCTCTCTCTCTTTCTCTCTCTCTCTCTCTCTCTGTCTCTCTCTCTCTGTCTCTCTCTCTCTGTCTCTCTCTCTCT